CCGAAAGCTCTGCGAAGAAGGCCCAGGTACTGGTTTGCTTTCTTAGCTGCCTTTTCAGTCTGCCTCAAATAACCGAGGTCATCTTGGACTGTCACGCCGCTGTAGAATATGTGGTCCTAGGCGGTACTTGTGCATCCTTTTGTGCCGTATGCTGAGAACTTTGCACTTGGTGACGTTGAAATGCAGTATGTTCTCGATGGACCATGTGTACGCTTTGTCTAGGTCCTCCTGTAAGACTGTGTGATCCTCCAATGCAACTATAGTACGCCATACCTTTATATCAACAGCAAATGACAAACAGTTAGAAGATAGCACGTTTGCGAGCTCATTTATGAAAACCAGGAACAGGCTGGGTCCAAGTACCGAGCCTTGAGGTACGCCGCACTGAACTTCGATGGATTCCGACAGGTTGCTTCGAACCCTCACATTCAAATGACGTTGAACGAGGAAGTCTCCAATCCATCCAAGAACAAGATGGCCAATTCCATATTGCTGGAGTTTGTGGAGGAGAATGCGATGGTCTCTACGGTCGAATGCCTTTGGGAAATCCAAGTAGGCCGCGTCGACTCCTACACCAGCATCCACAGATTCTGTCCAGCTTGCACGAACAATCAAGAGATTAGTGGTACAGGAGCGATTTTGGCGAAATCCATGCTGCTCCGGAACGAGAATTTTGTTGTTCTCCAGGTCCCCCATCAAAGCCTCAGCTACATTGGACTCCATAACCGTGGAGATCACAGGAAGTAGGGTTATCGGGTGATAATTTGCTGGTTCAGCACGACTGTCACTTTTGTAGATAGGCGTTATGATTCCGTGCTTCCACATTGTGGGGACGTGCATCTCGTTCAGACATCGTTGAAAGAAAATTGCTGGTGGCGCCGCCAAACTCATGACAGCAACTTTCAACGCATTCGGGCGAAAGCTGTCCGCACCCGGGGAGCTGAACTCGTGCAGAGACATCAATCTCTTCAGTACAGCTGCGGAGGTGAACGATATGTGATTAAGCCCTGATGGCGGCGTTATCTGCTTAGGCAGGATGTATGATGATTGCGCGTTATGGAAGGTACGGCCAAATTGTTGTCCAAGAACGTTGGCCGCCTCTTGTGCGGTTTGGGCTAACCCGCATGCTGTGTACAGAGCAGGAATACCGCGCTTAACACGGCGCAAATTGTTTACGTGTCTGTATAACAGTTTGGCATTGGAGCAAAACTTTCCACTAGACATTGTTGGTTCTGCAGTTTATCCTCCCGGACGAGTCTGACACATTGGTTTCTTTGTATTGTATAGACATCCCAGGCATCGTCATTCGGGGAGGGTATGTAGGTGCGCCATGCCAATTCTCTTAATGCCAAGCATTTACGTGTCCTGCTCCTTACGAGACTTCATGCTTTTGGGCCGGCAGAGTTTGGTTTCAGATGTTCTTGCCACAAGCTTGGTAAATATGTTGACGAATTCTCCGCAGGCCACCTCAGGAATTACTTCAGCTAATAACGACCAGCTTGTTGTAGCAATGAGGTCGGACAGGTCGTCATATTTGGTTACAACATGATATTCCTCGGCATGCTCTTTAGGATAATCCGCGTAGCACATGTAATGAAACACTAGTGTCGCATGATCACTGCGGCCCAAAGAAGTATCGGTTATTACTCTGTCGACCACCAGTTCTTCATTGGTGAATATTCGGTCCAATATGGATGGCCTGTCAGTTCCCCTGAACCTGGTGGGCATAGTGACGTGGCCATAAAGCGGGAAGTCTGAAACCAGATCTTGCAAATCTGCTTTGAATTGCTCTCCTGATGTGGCCTGGGATTTGAGGGCATGTAAGTTGGTCACCGGTGACTAGAATGTGACTGTACTTCCTGTTTATCGCTTGCCTCAACGCAGCCATCAAATTGCAGTCCATCTCAGGAGTAGACGATGGTGGGCAGTAAACAACAACCAAAAGGCCAAGGTCGTTCCATCTCAGCCGGAAATTACATCAAATGGCGTCAGGTACGTCCGTTCCTGTATCGTTTATGGGTTCGCATTGCATGTTGTTACGTAAGTAGAGGACTACCCCACCACCTTGGCTGGTTCGATCCTTCCGGACAACGGACATGCCCGTTAGTGCAATTTCAGCATCCGTTATCTCGCAGCGCAACCACGTTTCGGTGACAGCGATGATGTCCCAAGCTGCTGACACGTGTCGAAGTCTCAATTCAGCTAATTTGCTGAGTATATCTTGGACATTTGTGTACATACAGGAGAGCTTCTCGGAGACCAAAAGTGTGTTAGGTTGGATGGATGAAGCAAATGAGTTTACGCCGACCATTAAAGGGTCGGCGACTAATCGTTTTTGGATGGGTTGCATACTCTCGAGAGGTATTTGTTATACAAGCAGGTATCAGATGCCCCGGATCCCGGTGTTTGCTCGTGCTCTGCTGTGTCCCTCTGGATATTATGGCTACTCTTGAAACCGTCCCCGAGTCGGATCCTGCAGTTGGCGTTTTCATTAAGAGTTGTGCCTCTGCTGAGTTTTCATTAGAAGGTGCTGGTGTTCCCGCTGCTTTCAGAGGAATTTCTATTGGCAATCTGTAACGGAATTGAATTCAGTTCTTCAGTAGGATTTGTGCCGTTAGTTCTGACTGTAACACAAGTTTTAACAGCCTGGAACCGCAACCCTTATAGTTTGGTGATATGGGGATCCTTGTCAACGAGGTGACCACAGACATTTTCGAGAGAAAGGGTCTCATGGACGTAGTGCCATTGCTCGTGGTCGTGCATCTGAGCATCGTCGGAAGAGGAGACAGTATGCTGGGGAACACCGTGAGCAATCACTGTTTTCTTGACTTTTGTGTATCTATCTTTGTTAGCGGGATCCCCTGAACTTTCTTTCCACTGGATTTCGGGTAGTATGCGCACTCCACTTGAGTCGTTGCGGAGACGATTCGCAGACAGCAGAATATCCTCATTCTCGTCCGTCGAGTTTTGTGTTACCCTGGGAAAGGGTAAGATAGGTTGAACAAATTATCTGGGTTATTCCACGACATGGATCGGTGTACGAGCGGTCCTCGCAACCACGGTGAAAGATCATCCGAATAGAAAGAAAATTGCATTCTACGGGACGACCGAAAGCACATTTCACAGGAACTTTCTAATTAATGCTAGACTCCACTACATCCTCTATAAGTGAGGAATCTTCCTAACTCCAAAGAGGATTAGACGAACTTAATTAGTCAAATTTCCGGTACCTCTGCATTAGCCATTCCAAGTGTTTTGATGTCATGTTGTCTTTTCCCCACCTTGACAGACTGCGATCCCTATTAAATATATCTCCTTTGATTGTTAAAGACCAAAGCATTCCTCGTTTATCCAACTTAAAGTATTTCGGGTTTTTCATATCCTACAATTCCTACTGATCGGCAGATGTTCATCAAATATTTTAAAAGGGCAGATGACCATGCTTTTATGCTTGCAGACTCAAAATGCTCTCGGTACCTCCACAGCATGTAATCTCTACCGCTAGTTATACTGTTTTCCTGTTACTCTGCCCGGATTTCTTCGAAATGATTGTACACTTCCTGTTATCTCGCTACATTTCATTTCTGTATACACTATATTAAGCAATATATTGCAGTGCATTGATAGCCAGCATTTTGAAACATGCTTTGACGAAACATCCAGAATTATAAACGACCTCACATCTCCTACCCACTGCTGTAACCAGTACGGTGTCGCTTTCTTCCAGACAATCGAAATTTAAATTTGTATTTTCTTGTACCTCATTCTGTCGCAACTCCAGCATGCCCTAACGGTCTCGTTAGTTATTCGACTCAAAAGCAATGACGTGTTAGTTGCGAGACCATACGCTTGAGTGCATATTCAATTTTTTCTAACTTTTAATGTCACGTTTAATTCATTTATCGTAAGGCTACGTTTTAGGGTATCCGCAATATTAGTGTAAATTGCCGGAGACGTTCCTATGCAAATCCATTGGGCTTAACTTGATTTGACATGAAGATGGTTATCAGGATTTCAACCAAATGACCTACACTCTGAACATCAAAACATACAGTTATCAAGCGTTTGCCGGCAATTATGCTCTTTGCTTTATCGCTCGTGACTGATTTTTCTACAACCTGTTCTGGCGGTCGGAAGTTACATTGGGCAGATGAAAACTGGTCGAACCAGAAATAGTCATATCACACAAACAGCGGCACAGAGTCGGAAACGTGCTTCCCTGGTTTAAACTCACAAAAACTGGCAAGCATTCGGGCTTCGGATTGTGGTAACCCTGGTACTATCAGGATATATGCACGCGACTGCTGATAAGAAGTTGCCACAGTCGCATCGTTTGGCACATAAAGAGGACAGATAATTACGAACTGGTATTGTAGAAGTAGAATGGTAGCAGCGTGTAATTCAGAGTAGGGATGAAGTGCTCCATTCGATTGAGTTTGTGCTCAGCATAAGATGACAGATATTCTGTTCCATTAACAAGAGCACCCAATAAAAACATTTCACATCCTGTGGATTTACAACTGCGAATACCGATTGACTCGAAGCACAAGATGGTTACCTGATCCTTTTTCAATGTGAACAACATCCTGGCTCACAGTGGCTTTAGAATTTTAAACGCACCGTACAGCTGACGTCAGGGCCCGCAAATTGCTTAAACTGTTGACCTGCTTATCACCTGGGGAATGCGAAATTGATAAAGTGCTACTCTCAAAAACTAAATTTATCAAAAACACTTCTAAGTCTGCTACAGTAATAGAAAGATTGTGACAGATTTACTGAACACTAAAATTCTAGTTTTACAGGAATGTAGACACGGTTTGCTTCCTCAACGAGAGTAGCGAGTTTAATATGACCCTAATTAAGCAAGTGAGGCATTGAAGAGGATATTTTTGTCTTGTTGGCTTTAAGAACGCTCTGAACCTCGTTTTCACTCATTTACATTTTAGCAACTCGGTGATGTTCGAAAACAGATGCAAAACCTTCAGATTTTCAGCAGCATAATGATACCGCTGGTGTATACTCAGGTAAGACAAGTGCATAGTAATTTCGATTCCATCTTTCATGGGTGCAGCTCATATACGCGGAGCGCAAACTAGTTTAGTGAGGTTGTTGTGCCATCTAATTCACGCTGCTTAAACTTTCAATGGCCCTCATACACACAAAAACGTTGTCTTCATCTGCAGTCCATGATGGATGAGCGTAATCATATGTGTGATTTACAAGAGCTAGATAACGTTCACATGTGCTATTTTGAGTATTCAAACAGATTAATCAGATCTGGTCAGAAAGGATTACCTCATAGACAAAATGCAACTCCATTGCTCCATTGCTAACTGTAACCCATCATTCAATACGCATTGTGTCCATTTTACAGGTCGTCATTATTGCTGTGTACAGTTACTTCATGTGCCAAATATTTGCTTGTCAATTTTTGGAGCAACGACCTGGCAGCGATACGCACAAAATTGATCTCTATGTGCCAATCTTCAGTATATTTTCATTTCTCTTCCTGATGGGATGGTTAAAGGTGAGTGACCCGACTAATCAATCAAATGTCTCCTGTATTCCATAGGGTGGACTTAGGGCAAAAGTTAAAATTGGCAATTTGAGACCCTAATATCAGCATCCTTTTTTCGGATGCAGTATCCTGTGATTTCTTCGTTAACCTAGAATGTAGTTTGCAACAAAATTATACACGTGTCAACCTGAATGTTTTCGACATACTATACCATTCTGTCGGACGCATTCACATAGCGGAGTGGAGCAAACCAGGACTGGAACCGTCGCCTAGCGATGTCGTCACTAATGAACCCACAACTGTGGCTAGTTGGAGAATCGCCCATCCTAGCATGCCTGAACATACTTTGTGACCAATATCATTTATATTAGTGGAAGTAGGCTACGAAGTTTTCCGCTTCCAGTGTAAAGTAAGAAAACGAAATAACTGATCGCGTCAATTTAGATTCCCTAGTGAAAATGAAAGAATAGACCCAGATATCGTAAAGAAGAGATCGGGACAGGCCTACAAAGCACTGAATTCTCTGCTTCATAACAACAAATCTACCGAGCGGTTTAAGCTGCCGCCTAATTGAGCAAAGAAAAGATTAAACGATACATTTTTGATCGAAATGCAGATGTTGTAGTTCCGGTAGGGAGATTGAAGGAATTGTTTCTGTGTTACATATTCAAGGTGTTATTTATGTTTAATGTGAGCTACTACAGACGGACCGATGGGATCACAAAGGGTCTACCTATTTGCCGACATTTTTTACAAAGCGCGAACGCGGGTACTTGAGTGCTCTTGTAGCTCTACTAGATTAATATTAGCATTATATGCTTGACAAATTCATTATGTGACTTTTCCATCAAATGCGTTGGTCCTCCAGATAAATTTAGGCGAATGTATATTTCACTAGCATCCCTCAATGAGGCTAAAATTGACGGAGGTCTGATCTTCCTAAACCTTCCACTGTATATGCGTAAAAACAAAACAATCAAAAGAAGTGTTTTCCACAAAGCGTCGTGGGTATTTTAATATACCCACTTCCTCGGTTTTATACCACTAAGATACAAGTGCAATTTAGTGCGTTGTCAATACCATCGCATTAAAGCCATCTGTAACGCTGAGACGCCTGACACACTGCCAGAAAAGTGTGTCTTATCCCATACATTAAAATGCACTCCATTCCGTCTGATTCCACAAACTCAGACGATACTTCGTCTAAAACTGTGAGTTCCTTACAAGTTCCTCTGATGTTGCCTAGTCAGGCAACGAAACGTCTGCACAATAATCAGTCAGCTCGGAGAACCGCCAAAAATCCTCAAGTTCCTCTTAAATCTGACCTTGCTATTGAACTATTGAGTTCAAACATTTCGACTAAGGCCATCCTGACGTTTTTAACTTCAAAACTAAAATTACATGCCACAACAAGTCCATTGACTCCTCTTCACCTAAAAAACAAACTACTAAGCCGGTCTGAAGTTTTCATCTTATATCATTTTACTTGCAGCTGTAGAGCTGGGTATCTTAACCTAAACTATGTGTTCTTTAAAACAAATCGCAAAAACACTGTCCTGCCTCACTTCGAAAGGGTACAGTGAAACAAGTAAAAAGTTCCATACTGCAACCTTTACTTCAAACGGTACATCAATCACGTAGGAGTGAATCTTTTAAAGCCGTCTATGTCATTTCTATAGGCCACCTAAAATTTATCAAGAAACTAATGATCCTTACCGAAATCATCGCGATCAGGTTTTTGTAGCCAGAAATGTGAACAATGGACACCGCTTCATCACAGGGGCATAACATGTCACGTAGGATGCTTGGAAAAAAATATAATCTCATAAGAGAGCTGCGTCTTATGTTTAAGCATCTATTGAGCAAATGTGTTGCTGAATACTGGCAGTATGAAGCAAGAGTTTTATGCAAATCTACGAGGCAACATTGAAAGCGGGTAATGCCGAAATATTCCGTGAGGAACATAAAAACATGCTCGCGCACCCATGCACCGCCTCTTTAGGTCCATGTGACACCCGATTTGAGAGCATGATTAATATATTCCCAATAGCGCAACTTAGAAAACGAAGTGGTTGGGGCCAAGCGCAACATCCAATCTTATTTTTTAAAACATCGCAGGTGGAAAAGGCGGCAATTGCTTTTGCGGATGAGCTGCAGGTTTGGAAAACCCGAAAAGAATAATAATTCCGTCAGCATTCTAGACGGTTACGGGTTCATTCAGTTTCAGCCAGTTACCTCCGTTGGTGTTGTGGCTGATTTTCAACAAGAGATGGCATACGTAAGTAGGGCTATTCAATATTTGGTACACCAACATGATAGCGTCCGCCGGAAATTCCCAGTAACTGCAGTCTCCACTGATAACATAGAGTGAATAGATCCTTGATATTTTTGTTGTCCTGCATCGTGTTGCCTCTAGCACCTCTAGGTCGCACTTCAATCAGGGTTGTCGAAGTTGCATAACGTATTCAAAGTGATAGCGCACGTAGAAGTTGTGCATTATCGGGAATATGGATGGGTCAGTTCTCGCGAAAGCCCTCCGCAGCAGGCCGATGTGCTGGTTACCATTATCACAGTTGCTTCGGCCTGTTTTGAACAGTTCAGTTCACTTTATATGAGCAAACCAAAATCGCGTTCCCGGGGACTGGTTTGCCATACGTGTTACCCAAACCAATACACCTAGCCATACCGATGGTGTAATTGAACAGCACGACATTTTTCCACATTAAATGGCAGGATATTTTGTCCAGTTCAAAATTGTGGTAAGATCGTACTGGAGCCATTCGTGCTCGTCCAGTTCCCTGATAGTTAGCCGTATCTTGATGTCATCTACCAAGAATAGCAATTCGGAAGAAATTGCTTTAGTTCGATCCCTTATGCATGCCAAGAATTGGCAAGACCATAGAACTGAGCTTTTTGGCCCATAGCACTCCATCTCAATCGAATTCGACAGGGATTCTCATACTCTCACCCCTACCCAACGCAAGATAGGTCAGTGTTGCCTTAGTTCTGAGATTTCAGGTAGATGATATCTACTCCTGCTCCCCAAACAAGTGCTTCAGTCCAGCTATTACATTTAATTAGTAGGTTGGTAGTACAAGAGCAATTTCGGCGAAAACCATGTTGCTCCTGAGCTAATATGCTATGGTTTTACAGAGAATGCACCGGCGATGATTGATTCTATAACTTTGGTAACTACAGCAAACAGCGTTATTGGACGATACTTGATAGGGTCAGTGCGACTAACTCCCATATAATTAGGAGTGATGATCACTCACCTACACATTAGTGGAAGTAGGATCTCCCCTAGACAGAACTGAGAGAAAACTGTCAGTGGCTACGCTAGATTACTGGCTACTGTCTGCAGAGTTTTCGGCTGAATGATATCATCACCGGGAGAGTTTCGGTAGGCAGAGACAACAGATTCTTCAACACAGCTTCCGCAGGAAACATGCTATTGGAGAAATTTGAGGGTGTAACAATAAAAGCAGGTACAATCATTGGGCACGTTGCCCTCTTGTACATATGCGAGTAATGGAACCGTAAGAGCTAGGCTGCTTCATTGCTGATCGCGTGTATCCGTCAATCTTAACCAGTGCTGGAATCCCGCACTGCACTTTACGAAAGCCATTACCGTGCCTGTTGAGGTGTTTGCGTTTCGCGCAAAAGCGCTTCATTAATTTCTGCTGATGCAACGCTTGTCCTCGAGGATCAAATTCACACAGAAGTTAGCTGTGCCGTGTACGCAGTTTACGTCTCCGCATTGGACACTCCCCCATGCCAAGTCACTCAAGGACATGCACCTACGTGTTCTGCTCCTCAGAAATGACTTGTTTTCATTTTGACGATGAAAGGAGCTCTGTTGTGATGTATGCACTACCACTGTGCTAAGTGTCCTTCGACTGCTTACCAGGCGACGTCTAGTGGGTATTCAGTCAAGAAAGTCCATATGCTCAATAAGCACGGCTAAGGAGCTGATGTGTGTGACAGTGTTCCCTTTATCACCCGCTTCTTCAGGATATTCCGCATAGTATATATAGTCAGACACCATGGTAACATGTTTAGCGATACACAAAGGTGTGCTTGCAACCATAAGTGCCTCGATTGTGAGAACAATGTCAACTATCGACGTCATATTAACAGAAGGCAATCCGGTGAGAGAAGTTAAGGGGTTGTACAGAAGGTATCAGGAAATTGGCTCTTGAAAACAGGCCTTAAACTGTGAGCCATCGATTGCTGGCACTTTCGAGTCGTGCACGTTAAAATCCCCAGCGTGCGAATGTGGCTGTAGGATTTCTTTAGCGCAAACTGCAAAACGTGGTTCGGTTTGGAGTCCGTTTCAAATGTAAAGGCTGCGAACGGTAACTTACTTTCACAAGACGTCTCCATGTTGAGCAAACCCAGCCAATACCAAACGAATCAGGGGCGCGAATTTCTAGCTGATGAATAAAGTTGCATCAGAGGTTAACTTTGTAATAAAGAAGTACTCTATCAACCAGTCTAGTTCTATTGTTCCGAAGCAGCGACATGCGAAGTAATATGATCTCCGAGTCAGCTATCTTAGAGCTTAACCAGGTCTCGATAGTCATGATGAGATCCAGCGATTGGCAGGCCTGACTTTATCTAAATTCGGCCAACTTACTAAGAATGCCTTGGACCTTAGTGTGTTTTTGATGTAAAAATTATGTTGGTGCACATCAAATTAGTGTCTACTTTTAGGCCAACCGGTTGACAGTCGGTCACTAATGGTTTTTGGTTAGTCATTGGTTCTTACATTTCAGTCAGTCTGCATGGCAGCACAAAGCGTTCCAGCGCCCAATGTTCTCGCATGCCTCCTTCTGTCCTGTCTGTTGCGCGAGTACCACTGTATCTATCTCTCCTCAGGACTATGGAGATAAGTGATTTATCGAGATTTCATGTTCCAGCTATTTCTGACTACTCGTGGCCATGCGCCTGCTAGCTTTAACCGTTTCTCCCTTGGTAACCTTGAGCGATACTTCAGCCAGTTTTCCACCTGAACTTTTGCCACTCCTTCAGTGTAGATAAATAATAAATAA